AGATGAGTCGCGCTACAACAGAATCCATGTTCTTTGAAGACTCCGTCACATCTTTCTGCTTAGGCAGCAAGTGTTCTAATCTTATCCCACTTCTTATCTTTCAGTTTCTTTGTAGAGAAAACTCCTCTCACAGAGGGTTCTTCAGTCAGTTGCTATTCACATAATCTACAGCTCCTTCTTGCGCTCCCTTTACTGAGGACTTTAATCCTATTATTCAGCTGGTAGATCTGCTGCAACAGATGTGTTCTTTGTACCAGAGAAGCAGAGCGTTATTTCTTTCTTGCTGTGGCTCTGGAAGGCACAGGCAGTCCATGATTGACTGTAAGATGCTTCAGAAGTGACTATGCAAGTAATGAGTGCTTAACAATACTCCTAAACTACATTAGAAACTTAAATAAAGGTTGTCAAGTGTTGTGACAAATGGAAGCAGCGCATCGTGTCATTTTTAAAAATGCATTTTATAGGCAAAGTATGTGCTGCCTGAGGTCTTTTAGCCCTGCTGTTGTTAATTTATCTGTACCTTTGTTTGTCTGTGCGTCAACGTATAATTAAACCATGTATGAATGTGCAGTGGTGTTTTACGCCTGCCAAACTTGTAATTTATCTCTTGTTTAGACACCATGGAAAATGACAGTGTAATTGTTTTATTAAAAACAGATGATTATGCAATAAACAATGTTCTCCGCAAATAATACTCGTGAGTAATTTATGCACGCTTCAAGGCAAAGCTCAGAGTGACATATGCAGTAATAAATTCTGGTGACACTCATCAGCCCAGTGTAATAGAAGCTAATGACTACAGCTACAACAGAAAGTACATGACATAGGACATAAAACTAGGCACTGATGTTTTGTGATCAAAAGGATATTGATTCCTTAAAGTCCCACATAAACACACTTAGTAGCACAGGGCAAAGCCTAACTGGGGGATACATAGCTACATGTATCCCCCAGCTATGTATCCCCCTGAGCTGTAGCTCAGGTGGCAGAGCAGGTCAGCCACTAATCAGAAGGTCATTGCCAGTGTGTGAGTGCGTGTGTGAATGGGTGAATGACTGAATGTAGTGTAAAGCGCTTTGGGGTCCTTAGGGACTGAGTAAAGCGCTATACAAATGCAGGCCATTTACCATTTGCAGGCCATAGCAAAGGACTAGCAACGATGTGGCAAACAGAGAAAGGAAAATATGTCTACTTGCTAACAGATGAAATAGCTGAAAAAGATCTAAACGAAAATCAGCTGAGGTAAGTGACTGAAGTGAACAAGTATTGCAAAGCCATAGTTTCGTGTGAATTACTATGTATTTGGACTGGACAGAAGTGAATAGGGAGAGAAAAAGTGATAGAAATTGTATGACTATATGTGAAATTTTCAGTCACTAATATTGTTATTACCAGTTGTTAAGAATATCAAAAATTACAAAAGTGATTTTTATTTGAAGTAGCCAAAAATGCTGAAATACACTTCGCCCACAAGCCTGGTATTCAGATGAAAAGGAGACTACCTTGTTAGTTACTGTGTGAAGTCTATATTGTTTAAAATATACAGTATAGCATGACAGGTATTTATTTATTTATTTTTTTAAGATGTTAAGCTATATAGCTAATTAGCTAACTATTTAGCAAATTTTGCTGGCTAACTTAACAAAACTTGTTTTGTTTGTAGATAAGTGAAATATGTGTTCCATTAGTTTTTTCTGTCACAGGGGCACCAGACTTCCCTGATCCTGGCCACCTCTTCCAACTCATCCCTGAGGATTTCCTGGCCAGCCAGGAGGTATAACCTCCCCAGCCAGTCCTGGGTCTGCCCCAGGCCTCCTCCTGGTAGGACTAGTATCAGTGCTCAAAAGACCTCGCCCACGAGTGTCCAACTACGTCATAGTCAGATGCTTGAACCACCTCAACTGGCGCAGTAGCTATACTGCGAGTCCCTCTCAAATGACCATGACCCTGTCTCATGGAGACTCAGGCATCCTTCAAAGGAAACTCATTTTCGCCACTTTCATCTGTGACTTCATTCTTTCGGAAATCTTCAGAGCTCGTGAATGTAGGTAAGGGTAGAAACATAGATTGACCAAATCAATAGCTTTACATTTACACTCACCTTTTCCTCCCCACAAGAGATTAATACTGCCCCAGTCCATCTAACATCTCATACGGAAGAGGATTCTCAGAAAAAAGTCAGAATTATGGCTTTAATCTCAGAATTCTGACTTTTTCCTCAGAATAATTTTTTCTCAGAATTCTGAGATTAAAGTCTTAGAATTCTGACTTTCTTCTCAGAATTCTAGAAAAGAAGAAAAAAAAGACATGCCCACTTTTTTTTTTCCAGTGGCCCTAATCCTCTTCCGTACATCTCATGCCCCACTCTGATGATGTTTATGATGATTTGGATCATTAAACAGTCTCTTTAAGATCAGGTCAAAAGCATTTCAATACCCTCATTTTGTTTTTTGTTTGTTTGAGGCACAAACTGATGGCCGGACATTCTACTTCAGGATTTCTAGTCAAGAATTCATGGCACATCAGTTACAGTAAGTTGTACAGGTCCAGAAGTAGCATAGTAGCTTCAGACCATCACACTACCACCACAATGTTTGACTGCTGGTATATGAGCTTTTTATGAAATGCTGTTTATGAAATTTTAAATTCTGTCTCGTCAGTCCACAGAATATTTGGGGATCAGCAGTGGTTTTGTTCTTGGAACTCTTCCATTGATGCCATTTCTACCCAGTCTTTCCTATTGTTCAATTGTGAACTTTGACCTTAACTGGCTGGCCATTCCTGAGAAGGTTCATCAATGATCTCTGTTTTCTCCACATATGGGTAATGGCTCTCACTGTGGTTGACTGGAGTTCCAAAACCTTGGAAATGGGTTTTAAACCCTCTCCAGACTTCTTCTTCATCCTGGCGTTGTTCCCGCTGGTGCAGGGTCCGCGCTTCGGCAAAGGTTTCTCCATTTGGTTCTGTCCAAGGCGTCCTCAGGTAATGTGTTGACGGTCTTAATGTCCTCCCTAATTTTGTCCATCCACCGTTTCTTCGGTCTGCCTCGAGGCCGGCATTCTTCTGGGTCGATCGTCATAGCCATTTTTGCTACGGAGTTCTCATCGCTTCGAATCACGTGTCCATACCACCTCAGGCGGGACTCAAGCATCTTTTCCTTAATTGGGGCTACGCCTAGTCGCTTCCGTATGTCTTTGTTCGTAACACGGTCCCGTCTTGTAATTCCTAGGCTCCATCGGACCATGCGCATCTCCGTGGTGTTTAGGGCCTGTTCATGTGTGGTCAATGCGGGCCAACATGCGCAGCCATACAGGGCTACTGGGCGGACCACCGTTTTGTAGATTTTATCCTTGAGTCGATCTGGCACTCTTCTGTCGCAAAGGATACCAGTGACCTGTCGCCATTTTAATCAGGCTGCATTTATTTGTGCTTGGACATCGGAGGTGATATTTCCATGGTAGCTGATGACTGAGCCCAAGTAGCGGAACTCTTCTGTCTTCTTCAACTCTTTGTTGTCAATTATGATGGTGCCAACAGTTTGGGGGCCTCCTTCCAGGTATTCGATCTTTTTCGTGTTGAGCCGCATACCATATTCATTGAGCCGGGTCTTCCACAGTTGAGTCGTCATTTGGGTCTCTTCTCTGTCTTTGCTGGTGAGGATTACGTCATCGGCAAAGAGGAGAGACCATGGATGAGGTAACTGGAGGTTGGCCGTGATGGTGTCCATACATAGAATGAAGAGGAGGGGTGACAGAGCTGATCCTTGGTGGACCCCAACACTAACTGGGAAGGGAGATGATAGTCCAGCGGCGCATCGGGCTGAACTGGTGACGTTGTCGTAGAGGAGCTGTATCCATTTGACATACACCTCAGGGACACCATGCGATCTTAGGGAGTGCCATATGAGGTCATGGGGGTACCCTGTCGAAAGCCTTATCAAGGTCTAGGAAGGCCATATGTACTGTCTTGTTCTTTTCCCTATTCTTCTCCAGCAGGAGGCGGGCGGCGTGTATGGCGTCAGTTGTTCCGCATCCCTCTACGAAACCACATTGGTTGGGGGTGACGTTGACAATTTCCCGAAGATGTGCATCGATGACTTTTTCGAAAATTTTCATCGTGTGACATAGTAGGCAAATAGGACGATAATTTGAGCATTCGGCTACATCCCCTTTGTTCTTCCATATGGGTATGGTAATGCTGGTCGTCCAGGCCTTCGGGACTTCCCCTGTGCTGACAATGTTGTTAAACAGTTCTGTCAGGATGGCCGTTCCTGGTTGCCCGAGAAACTTCCAGACTTTGGTTGTTTCCAGTCATGGTTCCGATATTGATTGTTCCAAAACGAAGATGGAGTCGTCTCTTTAGCCCAATCCGTCCATGAGTGGGTAGCCCTTGCTGATTTCCCATGTCGTTCCGTCGAGAACGGCACGCGTCGCCTGCGGGGGACGCCCTAGCATTTCCCAAATTTTGACGTTCCATTGCTATTTGATGCGACAATTTGAAGATTCGATCGACTTGTCGCACCGCCTGACATCGAAGACCATCACCGTTGGTTGGTTATCCAGGAGGCACCGCGAGGAGGTGGTGATTGGATTTTGCCTCCCTCTCCAGGGAGGCCCTCTCCAGACTAAAAGATTAAAATTAATTTGTTTTGTCTCATTTTGAGTTTTTTTTTAAATCATAGCATGATGTGTTGCTTTTTGAGATCTTCGCTTCACTTCTTCACTTTGTCAAACAGGTTGTTTTGATTGATTTCTTGACTCAAGAAGTCTGGCAGTAGTCAGGCCTGTTTGTGGCTAGTGAAATTGACCTCAACCACAAAGATTTTTCCAAAAAATCTTTAGCCAATATTAAAATGTAATGATCTGAAACATTTTAATGCAGAAAAATGGCTAAAAATACATCAGGAAGGGGGAAAATATTCATTCATAACACTGTACCTGCTTGAATTTAGTTAGTACTACTTGTGCATCAAAATGAGATGACAAATGAAACGAACACTGTTAATCCACAACCCCATTTTTATTAGAGTTACATGTGGCAAAATTCACATTTCAGGGTTTATGTCCACTTATTGTGGCCTGTCAGTTCTGAAAACCCCCCAAAACAAAACTGTGTTCAGCAAGCATAGTGAACATTTATCAATGTAGCAATCACAATTTATTCAAAGAAACAATACAAACAATTTCAAGTGTTATATAGGATTAACTTTTCCTCTATATCAGTTCTTCTAATGTATTCCTGCCCATACTCATATACTCATAGTGTACATGACTATATTGTGGACAATGATGTAGATATCAAAACGCTGTACAAAAAACAGGATGTACAGGAAAGACACTCCATACAGCATCCAGATAAAAATTAAAAATACAAAAGAGGCACTTAAGAATATCACACAGACATACACATACTCACATATGTACATGTGGAGTATACTAGAAATCAGAATACTTGAGCCCATGTTATCATATAATTCACCTGAAAAGTTATTTTTACAATTATATCAGATACACTTGGCTGGAAAGCAATGTCAAAACCTTGTTAGCTAACATACGCATGGCCGCCTCCTACAGCAAGAACAGCCAACTAAAGAAGTTTTAAACTTCAATCTTTCTTATACTTAACATGGCTTTTAATCTATTGCTACTAGAAGCATACAAATAACTATTAAGATAACACCTATAATTAAAAAACTTAGCTTTTAGTTTAAGTTGACTGGATAGATCAATGCACACTTCCTGATGTCTAATATTTGCCTTTTATTGAAAACTAAACATGACCAAGGAAATGCTGGGGGCGATGAGTTGACATTAACCTGAAATAAATTATTCCAGATTTGTTTTTTGTTTGTTGTTTTGAGTGGCAAGCAAATTCATCTTAAAAGATTCTGGCAGAAATATCAGCAGCACTGAAAACCTAGCCCTAGAAACATTTGAACTCTCAAAAACATGGGCTGAGCTATGGTTGAAACCTAACAAGGGTGTTTAACTTCTCATTTCAGTAAGTCACATTATTGCAAGGTTAGACAGTATCGTCACTATATCATGACTATGATGCACAGCCTTTTAAAACCTACAGCACTTTTAACAGGAAGACACAGATTGTCCAAAAAGTGCAACACACACATAGACAGTATCAAAGTCTGACATAGCTTTGAATTAAAATGAAGCCAATCCGGATTTGCCTGAACCCTGCTTTTTACCTAAAGTCCACCAGATGGCGATAGCTGTGGATGCAAAAAGGCTTCCAGTGCTATAGAAGCCCGTGGAATTCAATTTTTATTTGGTCTTGACCTTTCTAAACCCTTATCTGATGAGTTTATGGGCTCAGTTACTGAATAATAAAAAGATTAAGTCTATTGTTGTAAATCTTGGTCATACAATTTTTCCAAATGGAAGATTATTTGTGGTACAAAATGCTCATTAGCTAACAAGACCCACCCCTCCTTCTCATATCCATACATTTTGGGTAACACTATGGTATCCATCTTTTATACTGTCTATGAGAACACACTGCACACCACCAGTCTGATCACATTAACTTCAATCCATAACTTCCAGTTAAGAATGGAAGAAGGCTTTTAGGTGGCATAACACACTGTGGAGGTGTGGCAGCCAAGCTAGCTCACGGCTGTTTTTCACGTCACTAAAACTCGATATATATAGTATATTATAATATAATGTGATTACAGTAATTCCTACTTTGAAATATGATTTGTATATTTTTATTTATTCATAATTTAACCAGTTTAATTATGCCTGTTTGCTAGTACTGATACAAACACCATCTTTAGCTTGTAACTGGTGGAAATTTCCGGTAACATTGGTACTAGCATTTCTACTCTTTGCTGAAGGATTAATAATATTTTCTGAATTCTTGCCTACAAGACCAGAAAAAAATGAACTGCGACAAACCTATCTGACACACTTTGTATTTTCCCCTTATCTTTTAGACTGAAATACAATGTGCATTATTTTAATCAGTGTAGTCACTGCCATTGGATAATTGGCTTTAAGCAGCCCTGGGTTGTTATATAGCAAAATATTTATTGCACAGTTTTAGATTTCACAATTTTCTGCAGAGTTCACAGGTAATAATGTCACCTAAAGCCTTTCTTTTCTTAAGTATTTCTTAAAGATATCAGCTTACCAACACGTTTTATTTTTTGCTATATAGTTCTGTACAATTTTCAGCGGAATTGGCTACCTTTAACATGTAGAGAGTAAAATCGCAGTGCGGATACATAACTGAGCTGTGCCTAAGATTAACAACAAAGTGAAAATTTCAAGTCAGTCAAGTTAAAAAAATCTATAAGTATTGCTGACAAATTAGTCTTATTTCATATGCTTTTTACATGACATGGAAATAAGACAAATTCTTCCTGATCTCCCTTTTCACATTTGCTGTACAGACCCTGTACAAAAGGAGCTCAATCCAGGGTGTTGTTTGGTGGAGCTCCAGCTACCTATTTCAATAATCTCACCATCCCAACACCAGCAAACATTCAGCATTCCAGGCCAAAACTTTAAATAAGGCTTCTGTCAAACTTTCTCTACTAGTTTAGATAATTTTGGGATTCGGCTATCTTAGCTCAGGATACAAACCCCACCAAAAGCACAAACAAACAAAAAATAACCCAGCTTTAGATTATAATCCCAAATTCAGTTAAGATAATTCTCTTGCAATAAATAAAGTACTGTTTGAGTTTATAGTCAGCCCTTAAACTAAACAGATTCTAATGATGTGTTCATTAACAGCTCAAACATCTGTACCTGTGTTTTACTGCCCTGGTTTGCATGTCCTTCCACAAAGCAAGTTTATTTCTTTACAATTTAAGTGGTTCATTTTGTTTTTTGTTTTCTGCTTTCAAAACTTTTCCCTACAAAGGAATCATCTCATTGAACTCATTCCTCTCTGCTCGAGCTCCCACCATCATCAGCGCTCCTCCCATGTTGGGACCAAGTCCCATGCAGCCCTTGAGTCCTCCTTCAGCCAGCTCATGGCACATCGTGGCATTGTGGGAAGACACAATATTTCCACTACCTGCAGGTGTGAATATGGTGCTCTCCATCCCCCTCCTCTGTTGCTCTGGTGTTGGAGCAGGCGCCCTAATCCCACTACTTCCAGCACCCACGCTACCTCCAGCACCAGCACCACCTCCCCGCTTTTTAGTTGGTGGTCCCCAGAGGAACGCGTGGGCAGGTCTGTAGTGTTGGCGGGCATAGCAGAGCAAGCGTCGGCGGGTGGCTGGCAGGCGGATGGTGTAGACAAAGTATTCCAGGATGCTGTGCTGCATGTTGGACAGGGTGCCGTGGCACAGCGACTCCTCCAGGAAGAAGCGAACCAGCGGGGCCTTAAAGGCCTCATAGCCGAGCTCACCCAGGGACTTCAGGATGCGAGTGATCCGCAGGTAGTTGTGGTGGGACCTTCAATAAACACGGCGGTTGAGAAAGAGAATTTTGATTGATTAGAATAGTTTGAAATAGCTTTTCTGAAATAGCCATCTAGGACCTCCTCTGTAATAAGTGTCCAAAATAAGTATTTGGACACTTATTTTGAAACATAATCAAATTAACTTTAATTTCAACGGTCACTGGACTGCAAGACTGCACGTACCAATCATTTCTGTTTTTTAGAAACTTTATTTCCTCCTGGAAGTTATTCTTGTATCACCATCTTCAGACCCCATTCCTTCAGTGTCTCTTTTATAATGTTTCTGGTGTAACAGCTTTTTTCCTGCACGATTTGCACGTCCATATCCACTAGCATCAGATAACCCTGTGTTGGTATAATGTCCTCCCGATAACCATCACCTCTCTGTGGACACGGGCGGTTAAAAGTACCCATTTATTGCTCTACCTATACCACTTATCACACGTATAGGTTAAAAGATGGACAGATCACAAGCCTGTTCCACAGCTGACACACACGTCCCTACACAATCGCACATCGATGGGCAGTTTTATGGAACAACCCAACCACTGTTCATTCTGTGGTCTAGATTGAAGTAAAGGTGATGGCCTTCAATACAACCATGATGTAATGTCTGATGTCTCTGGCAATATAATTATTATTTACTGTTTGGTGTGGCTACTTGGCCCATGAGAAATCTAGAAACCAGATTCAGACATCTTTGTGCATTTTAATGGCAAGAGAATGGAAAGAAAATACACTGTTGTCAGCTTTGTTTTCCATGTGTTTAGAGCTTAACGCAACAATTAGATTCAAATGGTTTAAGGAAGGTTTGTGACTGGAGGAGATTGTGGTAATAAAAGGGAAAGTAATGCTTTCCCTTCTAAAAGGTTTTAGGTACAAGGACAAGCACACGCTTTAATGTAAACTGCAAAGTGCGGCATTCAGGTGGTCCTTTGGCAGGAGGAAACACCGTACCTTATCTCAAGCAATGAAAACATCGAAACGGGATGTGAAACAAAAAAAACAACAACAATTGTTCTTTTAAATTGCCCTTTAACCATCTGTTTGTCCATTCAAAACATCCTCTTTCACATTCAGCTGCTGTTAGAGGAGCAATTAAGTTGCAAAGGATTTAGAATGATTGCCTTGCTAAAGGACTGAAAAGCAGCTACTGGCAACTATGCGATAACTTCACACAAATTGTAGCTGCAATTTTATCCCCCCCAAGCTACTGCACAGTGCATTTAAATATATAACGTTCGCAAGTGTGTGTGTGTACTTACTCATTAAGGTGTTGGAAGCGCTCCTGCCAGTTCGGAGCCCGAGCAACATTGCCACTCTTATCCAGCAGCTTGACGCCGTAGAAGTCCAACATGAGGGAATAGGCCGCCAGGAATCTCCGCTTTGCTTCCCGAGTGCTTTGGAATTCCTGATGTGATTCAACACAACAAATCAGAAACAAACAGACAGGTTGTGTACAAAAGCAGCTTTTCTCTTTAGGTGATCAGAAGAAGCAGAAGAGAAAGCTGTATGCAAACACTGGGTAATCGCCCGAAAACGAGTCTGAAATTTCATGAGGGACACATTTCTACCTACTTTTAATGGGAGCATGCACATGCAAACCAGCTGTGTTGTTCAAACAGATGTCTAATTTAGTCAGAGCCAAAGCTGAATGAGTATTTCCCAGAACGGTTGTTTGCTTTGTCACATTTGAGCGACTTATTTAAATGAGAGTGTATCGGCATTCTTAAAACTTCACTCGATTCAAAATTTGCTAAATTTGTGCTAAATTATTTCGGTAGTGAAATGTAAAGACTCAACCATGGGAAACACTTGTGCGATGAAAAGCCACAACTAAAGCAGTGATGCAAAACATTAGCAAAACCGTGACACTGAGCTGTGTTTTCCCCCTGCACTGAAAGCGCATTATAATGCACCTGAGCTGCCAGCGACACTCCACTAACTGTGAGCAACTCATAGTTCTTTGCAATGAAAGCATCAAAATCGGTTCACAGGTGGAAAGCTTTCAGTGTTATATGTCTGAATATAACCACATTTAAGTAAAAAAACGATCTAATATGCTAATGTAGGAAAGCAGAAGTGAAATCTAACACCAAACAACAGATATTTAGGTAGAAACTATAAAAAGAAGAGTGACCGCAGGAGCACAGCTGGAGATCAAGCACATGTCATCACAGTTTAATGAAGCACAGCATTAATAAAGCGGACCATCACAGACTAGTAGAGACAGAATATGTGTACGAAACTCACTTTGATTTCGTCCTGAGTCAGTTCATGTGCGTAGAAGTTGAGCCCTTGTTCTCTTAATGGGAACAGCCTGGGGTACAGAAATGGAGTAAAAACACTGTAAAAACATACAACACAATAACTACAGGGATGTGATGGTCAAGAAATACATCTGCCTACCAAATAATGAAGATAATTACTCAGTGTAATTTCTCAGCAGGTGCTACTGTTTGATCACTGTGCATGGTATGTAAAGGCTGTCCACCTCTTTCTTCTAGGCTAGTAAAGTGACTGCTAAAACCTTCCCACCGAATGTTAACCTGGCAACCCTACCAGAACTATGTGAATCGCTACATTCACTATATCAAACATGTAAAGGTCAGCAGCAAAAAAGGCAGCCTGCACATAGAGCCTGGAAGTTGCTGTGTATGTACATGAAGACCAAAAACACAAGTAAAATAGTACTGAATAGGAGTGTTTGCCTACTTAACAATGAAGCTAGCATGGATGTGTCAAATAACTGCAGTTCCTTCAATGGCCACATGAGGCTGGCCCCAAAAGCAAGTCGTTCCCCTTTAACACTTGTTGTGCATTGTAACACTTCCATGTTACATATCAAACATGGAAGCCATATCAAGCTAACTACAGTTGTCAAGCTTGATGTGACAATCACCGTTTAAGCCAACGGTCCCCAATCTTTTTTGCGCCACGGACCGATTTAATATCAAACAACATTTTCACGGTGGTAGTCGCGTTGTGTCGCGGATAAAGGTGTCGCGGACAAATACAACAAAATAAAATGATACGACCAAGGCAAAAACTGTGGTATTTTTTAAAATATAATGATAAACACGAATTCACTCTATAATTGTGTAACTTTATTAGCAGTGTCCTCCTGCTAATAAAACGACTCAACAACATTGAGAGTCACGTGTCTTCTCTGCCCTTTAATGCGCTCTGGTCTCTATGGTAACACGTAAACATTTCTTTCAAAATAAGACACACAACTACAACACAGGAAAAGACCCAGAGAAACGATAAAAGTTAACAATAAAAACTCCGAAAACCATAAATTTCACACCCGAGCCTCAACTCTCGCGGCTTGGTACCAAACAACTCACGGACTGGTACCGGTCCATGTCCCAGGGGTTTAAGCCACTAAAATCAGTTCTGAAACCTGACTGGACAGGTTAAACTAAGTGAGCGGTCATTAAAATATTCCTGTTTTTTATTGAACTTTAATCTGTAACAGGATAGAAAAAGGAAGCTTTGACATGTCATGTTACCGTGCCTTCTTGCAGGCTAAGAACAACTTGATGCACAAACACACAAGCTGCATGAATATTAAAACAAATGGAGGGAATGTCTCACCACTGAATATAGGTGTGATTGTGCTCCAGTTTGTCATAGTCGCCTCTCCACTTAGAGAGAATCTCCTCTATGTAGATACCTGAGAAGAAAGAGGAGCTAAATAGCTGCAAAATAGATCTGTATTGCATGTGTGTGTGTGTGTGTGTGTGTACGTGTGTTTAAACAGTGGATCAGTCCACTAATCTGCTGGGCTTTCCCTGTCAAACTTGACCTTTAGCCAAACAAAACTCACTAAGGCCAGCACTAACATCACTTCTCTCCAGTGTTAACAGATCTGCATGGAGAGTGCACTTTTTTCTCTGTGTGTGTGTGTGTGTGTGTGTGTGATATCTGACCATCAGGCACTAGAGGGATCTTGTTCAGGTAGAAGCGCAGGTTGCGGTACTCATTGGGCTGCCGGGACCTTCTGAAGTTCTTCACATGAACACACACAGATAAAATATATCACAAAGGGTGTCTGCATTAGTGTGAGTGTATGTGTGTGATGAAGCCTGTCTATTCTCATTGTAGGGTACACATGTGTGTGTTCATGTACCGGGTAGCTGTGCCGATATTTGTAGAGGTCCCTGGCGGCATAGAAACTCCTCTTCATCTTTGGAACAGACTCCGGGGAGTCAGTCAACTGAAAGAGGAAGAAAGAAGGAAAGACAGAAAAAAAAGACTCTTAAGAATGGAAAAAAGAAAACAGATGGTGTGTTGCCCTTAGATGCCATTTAGCTGAATTAAAAACATTTAGTTGCTTGGAACATTAATATCTATGTTTTTCTCATAAAAATGGACAATTTACATCAGCACTAATGTGAACCACTACCAACCAGACACCTCTGTCTAATCGGGGTCATTTTTTTCATAAAATTTAAAGTGAAATGTGTTTCTTTGGTCTTTCTAAGCTTTAGGGCCCTGCATGGTCAGGCTCCTCAATATTTATCTGACCTGCTGAAACCACATACATCTTCTTGGGCTTTAAGGTCATTAGATCAGAGACTGCTGGTGGTACCGCGCACTCGTTTTAAAACTCGTGGTGATCGGGCCTTTCAGACTGTGGCACCACGGTTGTGGAATTCTCTCCCACTGTCTCTTCGCTGAACGGACTCCATTGATTCTTTTAAGAAACAGCTGAAGACATTTTTATTTAGAAAAGCATTTGATTAATTTCTTCTTATGCTGTTTTTATAGTTTTATTGTTTTACATTGTTTTATTTACTGTTATATTGTTTTTATATTCCCATTTTCTGTGTTGTAAAGCACTTTGTGATTTTTATCTGTGAAAAGCGCTATATAAATAAATTTTACTTACTTACTTACTTACTTCTTAGGTCATTTACTATAATCCATAAACTATCTCCCTCCTGACTTTAAAAAAAAGTCCAACTTATAAAAACAGAGCAAAACCATAAGTCTGGTTTAACTTTTAAGAAATAATCTATGAAAGATTGCTCCTGTTCGACTGTTATAACCTGCTGGTTCCTGTATTATAAAACAGTGTGAAATAGCCTAATAACAACAATCCCGTCAGCTACTCTGAACGTTATTGCACACAGTTTATGTGTCTGTAGCCTAAAAAGAATAAAACGTTTTCACTTTCTTTGTAAACCTGTAGGCAGTGTAGGGTTGGAGTTATGGTTCCTTAGATTACTTTGATAATTAACAAACATCACGTGAACAGGATGTAGCCCATAACATGTATGACAGTAGTTTACAGTAAGAAACCCAAGACTGAATCCATTTCTTCTCAAATTTGGCATGATTTTGACACCTAGCTTGCACAGTCCCACCTGGCGTGCTGATGCCTACAGTAAGATCACAGCATGGCTGTAGCATGAGGGCTGGGGGGATAAATACGCAGTATTTTAAATACTAGAATTTATTGCACTAACGCTCTCTAGCATTCAGAATTTATTAGTTATTTCTATCTTTACCGTATTTAACATTATCTGTGCTGAATCAGCACATGTACAGACACGGTTTACTCTGAAAATTACACTTGGGAGTTTGAATAGGTTATAATTTTGCGGCAGTAACCTGCTAAATGCATCTAAACTTCCACAAAAAAACAAAAACAAAACAAAAAAACAAACTTATTTGGTTGAGTCCATTTAAAAATAAAACATCGCAATAAAGGGCGACCTCGTCCTTATCCTGCCTGGCTGCCGTGTGTGTGGTCATTAACCTGCCTGTACACGGTCCCAGAGGAGGCTGAGCTGCTGCTGATCGTTTGTTCCCGGCAGATAATTCAGTGGTTATGTGAACTCATAACTCATATTGAAATAATGGCAGTATGGCAGAAGGATTGTCGCTATGATTTTCTCATGTGGATTTTTTTTTCCATTTTAATCTTGCTCTAAATTACGAGGAGAACCTGTCCCCTATAATTTGTCCCCGCGTAAATGTACAGCCGTTTTCCACAGCATGCGTGTACAGCACGTCTTCACGGTACATGAACTTGACGTATTTCTGAATGAAAGTTTGGTGTGAGCTGTGTCTCGGGTGCAGACATCACCGTAGCCCGGTTGTCCTTACTGTGTCCCGGCCTTTTTGCCGGTGGCCCACATGTCCCGGCTCTCCGGCGTGAAACGTACCTGCGGTGTGCTGTCTCCGGCGTGCCCCGCGGCCCTCTCGCTCTCCGCCGGGCTGACGGAGTCGGAGATGCCGCTATCATCTTCAGCCGCCGGCTCGTCGCTCTCCGAGTCCGATCCCCACGTCGAGTCACATTCCTCAATCGTGCTCGGCTCCTTGAAACGCCAGCTGCCCACCAGGTTTCCCATCTAAAAAACATGCAATAACCGCCTTCTTCTTCTTCTTTTTAATTATCGCTTTTTAAAAAAAAAAAAAGGTATAAATACTACATAATTTTGCCCCCAGCCTCGTTTTTCGGTTTGCAGAGCGGTGGGTTTGCACTGCGCTCAGTGCGGAGCTTTTAAATGGCAGAAAAGGGGGATTTCCACACTGGAAGGATGATGCGTGTTTCTGTATGAGAGGCCATTAGTGCCGCAGAGGCAAGAGGCGGTCTTAACCTGTGAATTGTATGAAACAAGGTTACAGTTGAGTAAAGCTAAGCTAGAGACTAAAACTATGAGTGGAAAACCTCCAAATAAAAACCCCCCCTAAAATAACAACAAAATAAAATAAAAAAGGGTAGATTACTAATATATGTGTAAGTATACATGTAGTCTACGCTGCCAGTGATGTTGAAAAGGTGCAAAAATGATCAAGAATCAATGTCAGAATTTAATATTGATTCAGTCAAATTAAAGTTGACAGTAAAAGATTAATTTAGCACAGTTTCAATTATTGTTTGCTATCTGGGATAACTAGCAAAAATTGATTTTTTTTTTAACATCAATACAATCAGCTTGAGGACACTTATGCTTACATGTTTATTGGGACTACGAAAGCGTAACACTAAAACAAACACTAATAAAAGCTAAACTTAAATGAGCAAACCCAGTTTGGAATTTTAATAACTGAATACAAAGAATCATATGCTCTTTAATGAAACACAAATTATGATTGAAAAGGTAAAATTAAAACAACTCTCATAAGAAAAAGTGAATGTTGTATCATCAAAATACACATTTGTAGTTAAGGTTAATGCCAAATGTTAACTAATTTAAGAACTTAACAATGTACAGTGTTGTTAAATACATAATTTGTGTTGTATGCTATTGATACAAGGCTTTCTGCAATCACAAAATATGTCCCAGGATTTTTCTTTTGGAATATGTAGGCTATTTACAGTAGCTTAAGCATGTGCCACTGTCTGTCCCTCTGCAACTACTCTGATAAAAACAGTAAGAATGTTCAAAGAGTCCCAAGTTGTTCCCTTTGCAGTCATGGTTACTGACTGAATCCTGGGAGGTTTTTCAGGAATTAATTACAAAAATAATGCCACAAAACTTTTATTCAATTTTATATACTATACATTAACTGTGAATATGTAAAAATGATGCAAATATGATATTTACAGCACATTTCCAACAGAGCTCCAAATCAAATACCTTTATGTTGCTCTTTATGATTCTTTGTAAGTATTTTAAGGAGTCTATCATCATTACTGGCAGATACAATGTTTCTTATTTGCTGTATTCTATTGCTCTGTGGCATTAATCACCTTCTATACATATCATTACAACAACAGCATCAGGACCAGAAGTGCATCACGTGACACAAGAACAGCGATTATGTCTCTCCAGGAGGAAAGTGAAACTGTGTTGGTTGTTCCTTTGGAAAGTCCATGTGATCTTATTGATTTTAAAGTGGATTTCTTAAAAGTGTTATTGTATTTGCCGTTTTGTTTTTAACCCAATTTATAGAACTTAAAAAACTTTTAAAGTATGGATATAAACAGAAAAGAATTACATCCTTATGGTGTAACAAGAGCTCATGTAAATGTTTACATCATGCCACTCTTTTTCTCAGGATAAAAGCTTATAATGTTTGTAAGTGCATACATCTTGTGATAAATTGCCAAGATACCACTTACAGATTTAATAAAGGGAATTCCCTATCGTGTGGCTTGTGGCAGGTTTCAATCAAGCATCTGTTTGTTCCTTATGACTCACAAAGTTGCTTAAATTATCTTGCCATGAAAATTCCTGTAAAGGACTGTTCATTGTTCTTCTTCTTGCTGTTCCGTTTCAGACTTTCTGTGAAACTATTTTCTTTCCTCATTTTCCTTTAGTGGATCTTGCAACAAAAAAGCTCTAAATTCAAGAAAAAAAAATGTTAAAAAAATTTTTGCAGTTCGGCCAATTTTAGCTATCATTCAAAGATTTTAGTCCTTTTAGAGGCACAGTCCTTGAGGACAAAAATCTATTTACAGTGTCATGCTAAGCTTTCATATAGGTTCACCACTGACAGCCTGGGTTGTTGGTGAAAGAGGGTTTATTGCAGGGTTTGACTGTATATGTATACATATTAAATAATGAATTAATCAATCGTTAATCATTAATGCAAATATCTAACAAGCTAATCACATTGCAGAAACTAATCCTACATGCATGCAGATAATGAGTCCGTTCCTTGTTGACCACCTGTTAAATCCGGACTTTCAGTCAGGTGACCAACTTGCTACCCTGACGGGTAAAATATTGCTTCATCATGACGGCTAAGTTAAAATTAAAGATGCTCGAAGGATGGCTGGCGGGTAAAGGACCACAGTACGTCACGTCATATGAAAACTATGGATAGCAGCAGAAGACCACACGTGTCGCTCGTGGTAGCTAAGAGCAGAAAACTGAAGCTACAGTTTGCATTGACTTATTCAAACTGCACAACAAAACATTTGGAAAAATGTTGCCTGACTCTTCATTTCTGCTTTGACAGTTGGATGGTAGAGTCAGAATTTGGTGTAAACAGATAAAGATCAGTGCATCCTCCTTTGTATCTAACTCAAGCAAAGTGTAGTTAAAGCAAATACCCTATTTCTAAAAGTGATTATCGTTTAAAAATTTAAAAGAAATTTTTAAAGCAAATGTCATAAAGTCAGCTCTGACCTCCAAAAGCACATACAAGTCCAGATCGAGTGGGTGTTTTTGATTTGCTTAAGCCTGTGCTTTGGCTTCTGTTAGACTAGGAAGATGATTCATCAGAGGGGAGTCTGCAGTTCCTGGCAGAGTGAATGACACTGATGTGACTCTGAACTTCCAGCCCTTAAACAGGGATTTGTGGTGGCCTGGGTGAAACGTGTCAGTGAGGTGAGGCTAGAGTCATTTGTTGGTCAAGAGAAAACTGCGCAATGTGGAACTACAGTGAAACTACAGTGAGGCAATCGAGAGAGTATCATCAGTGCTTCCTGTCAGCACATCAAACACAGAAACTGAATTTGGTATATATGGTATATGACTCAAATTTAACATTATAGAAAATTTTATCTGAAATTAACATCTGAAATAGCTGCAGTTAGTCAGCTCCTTCATGTTAACCTGTGTAGTTTATTTTGGGATTCATTTCTCCATAAAAACGTAATGTTGTACCAAAGTTGTGGAAATGTATTTAAAGAATTCTTACAGCTATAAAACCATTGTTGTCTATAGTGGAAATCCAGGACCAGGGTAGCTGATTGTTTTTGGTTGCTAACATGTTAAAAAGAAGTGAAAAATTACAAATTTTCACAGTCAAAATGAAGGTCAAACAACTGCCTTTTCAAGTGACTCATGTTACATTAAAATGGTTTAATTATCTGACAAATACAAACATGTTTTCATCCAGGTGCTGTTGTTTCTGTGGCAGTTAGCACACTGCATTGGTCCTCTATTTTACTGACAACTGCGGAAGCAGTGGAATTTACATTTACAAAATGAGGAATTAAGTTTAGAACTATCTTACTCAAGCAAAATTCACTAAGAGGATGTATTTAAAGGGCTGTGAAAACAAGAAAACTCTCTCGATGTTGTGTATACTTTTCAAACTGTCCAAGATAAGGATTTTTTTAACCACATGCTAAGCAGGCAAATTTAAAAAAAAGTAATAATAATTATTTATGTGTAAAATTTATGTGTAATATTACATTGGTTAGATTCACCATAGCCTGTAGTCTGGATTCAGTGCTGGTATACAGCATAAATCTCCAGAATAGTAAAACACCTCTGCACTTGAATATTCCCGCCAACATAATTTGCTGTGGGTTTGGCAGACTGCAGTATCATCCTCTCAGGCTCATTACATTATATACATCCATGTACTCAGAGGTTAAAGTGGGCTGGAACGATCCAGTATGATATTCCAACACCTCCAGTTAACATGCAATTAAAACCGATAGGCAGGTTAATGCATTTACTGTCGAGTGAATTCATTTTTCAGTGTGCTGCAGCCTGACTTTCCTTCCAGTTGTGTGCATCAAGATAGTTACTCAGTAACAAGCTGGCATCAAAGACAAGGGGCGAGAACAAAAACAGAAATAAGTGCCAGGTAATTTCAAATGGAACTTTTCAATCAGTTTAAACATCCTGTCACTCTGTTAATACCCCATCATTTCATATTTCATGACTTTGCCTAAAAATATTATTTTGGGGGTGTGTGGGATCAAAAAAACCAATTTTGACCACTTCTACTGAGAACTATGGAGGAGGATTAGGGCCCCTGGAAAAAAAGTGGGGATGTCTTTTCTTTCTTTTTTCCCCCAGAATTCTGAGGGGGAAAAACTGAATTCTGACTGGCTGACCGTGACTGAGATGATAAACTGTCAAAGTTTTACTTCTACAATAGTTAATTAAGGCAAGGCAAGTTTATTTATATAGCACAATTCAACAACAAGGTGATTCAAAGTGCTTTACAGAGACATTAAAAACAAAAACAAATAAAAAAGCATGATTTAAAATTTATTAAAAAAACAGTAGATAAAATCAGTAGTTAAAATTTAAGTTTTGAAATTTAAATTTAAATTAAATATGTTTCTTACATTTCTGTAGCTAGTCGTGAGATCAATGAGGTGTTTCACTGTGAGTCCGCTGTTTTTATACCATCTCTATTTTAGTGCAATGAATGCCAAACGTTACAATAAATTCATTTCTAAATTTTCACAAACTTCTTGGTCTGTAATAATTATAGTTTTTATATGTATTGGCTGCTGTGTTTGTTGTACCCTGTGTTTATTAGTTTATTCTAATGTGTATTTTAACTTTATGATCTTTAATGAATTATCTAAATCATTCATATATTAATAAAAATTCAAATTAACATGACCAACTTACTTGGCAAGTATTTTGCTGTTGTTGCAGGATGGTGTCAGAATGATGTGTTTTGGCAATACTAGTGCTCACTGTCAAGCTAATGCTACTATAGTGAAAAATCGCACAAAACTCACTGGAGATGCAGCCTCAAGTTCCAAAAAACAGTGTACTGAATAACAGTTTCAATAAACTCAATAAAGCATAGATGAAAAGTAGACAAAAAGCGC